CCATACCCAGCCTTTTTGCTTTTATTTTCATTAAATATTTGAGCCTATGAGTTAACCCGGTGGTTGCTTTAAATAATCCCCACATATTCTAATATGCAGAGTTTTCACTGCAAATATATTTCAGAAATTCTATAATTTAGTATGCATTTTCCCTTTTAACCAAGAATTAATAGAAAAATTAAAACTTTTCAAAATAGAAGAGTCTTTTTATAGCTTGATTTTGTTGTTAATTTCTAATGCACTGGGATTAGAGAATGCTAATGTTTCTGCTTCACAGACTTTACTGTTTTGTTTTTATTATTTTTTTTAATTTTTATTTAATTAACAAATAATTATACATATTCACGGAGTATATAGTGATGTTTCAATATATATGATGTATAGTCATCAGATCAGGGAAACTAGCATATCCATATGTTTAGTTTTTATGAATGTTCTATGTGCACTTAAGAATAGGATATATAGGGTAGACATAAAGTTCTTGTGCAATTTAAGTTTAACATAGTAAATTGCACACAAACTTTATGGGCACCCTGTATTCTCTATTATCAGGGTGTACATTTCAGCATAAATCTATAAGATTTACCTTGTTGATTATGTTGTTTAGGTCTTCTAGATATTGGTGGGATTTTGTTCACTTGACCTCTCACGTACTTAGTATGTCATAGAGTCTTTTATTATTCATATGATTCTATTTCTCCTTGCACCTCTTATAGTTTCTACCACATAAAAAGGTGTTGGCAGAGATATTCCTAAGTGTTACATATTGTATTAGTTGCTGCAGATATTCATAAGTGTTATCTTTTCATTACTTCTACGTTTTCTAGATAACTTTGTTTTAGGTGTATCTTCGGTATACTGCATAAAGTTGGGTCTTGTTTTGTGAGTCAATTTAATACTTTTTTTTTTTGAAAGTTAAATTAAGCTATTTCATATTGGTTGATATGACTGATATGTTTAGTATTAACTGTCACACTGTTTTACTACCATAATTACACATATTATTCTATATTTATTGTCTTACTTTCTCTAAGAAATGTGGGTTTTTTGCTTTTTAAAAGATATTTAGTAGCTAGGTGTTATGGACAGTGCCTATAGTCCCTGCTACTTGGGAGGGTGAGACAAGAGGATTGCTTGTGTCCAACAGTTTGAGGTTGCTGTGAGCTATGATGCCACTGCACTTCACAGAGCAGGACAAACTAATACTCTGTCTCAAAAAAGAAAAAAAAATTTTTAGGAAAAAAGTGTTTTGTTGCTCTAATGGTTTCTTTTGTATTTATGTCTTTTATAGTACTCTTAAGCCCCCCTCCTTTTTTTTCTTTACTTAAATTTTTCCCTCTGATTTGCTACTTTTAAGTCATATTCTTTAATGTCCAGCTTACTACCTAGATAACAATGATCTAGTTCTATTTTGCCCTTTCTCTCCTTCTCCCTGTATTTTAGCTATGATTTAATAAAAAAATAAAAAAAAATAATAAAAGACTGTATTTTATCAGAATATGTAATGTCCACATACACTATACTTTAACCCTTCGCACGTCTGACTTAGTCTTAGATCTATAGTTAAATATATTAAACGTTCACCATCAGACATTTTGTCAAAGTTTTTCTAGTCTTTCTACTGATTGAATAAACATCATCCTCTAGTATGGCTGGCTAGTGGAACTTTTTGCCATGATGGAGATATTCTATATCTGCACTGCCCAATACAGTAACCACAAGCAATGGGTTGCTATTGAGCACTTGAAAGGTAGTGTGAAAGAGGAACTGACCTTCATATTTTATTTAACTGTAACTAATTTATTTTATTTATTTATTTATTTATTTATTTTTGAGACAGAGCCTCAAGCTGTCCCCCTGGGCAGAGTGCCGTGGCATTACAGCTCACAGCAACCTCCAACTCCTGGGCTCAAGCGAGTCTCCTGCCTCCGCCTCCCAAGTAGCTGGGACCACAGGCGCCCGCCACAACGCCCGGCTATTTTTTGGTTGCAGCCATCATTGTTGTTTGGCGGCCCGGGCTGGGGATTCGAACCCTCCACCTTAGGTGTACGTGGCTGGCGCCTTAGCCAGTTGAGCTATAGGCGCCGAGCCCACTAATTTATTTTTTGAGACAGTTTCACTCTATTACCCTGGCTCAAGTGCAATGGTGCCATCATTGCTCACTATAACTTCAAATTCCAGGCCCAAGTGATCCTCCTGTCTCAGCCTCTTGAGTAGTTGGGACTATGGGTGTCTGCCTCCATACCTGCCTGATGTTTTCTCCTTTTACTAGAGATGAGGTCTTGCTCTTGCTCAGATTGGTCTTGAACGTCTGATCTCAAATAATCCTCCTCCCTTGGCCTCCCCAGAGTGCTAGGATTACAGGCATGAGCCACCTTGCTTGGTTGTTACTACCATTTCTGAAATGCATTATAGCTTTCACTTACCTAAAATACTATGACCTAAAATTCCAAAATCATTTTGGCAACTGCTCTGATTTGGAAACTGTTTTCAAATCTAGTCTCTGAGCTCACTGTGATGTTAATGTTCTACTCTGTACACCACAGATGGATAGTTCTTTGGGATGCACCTCATGTCCTATCATCTTGTTCTTTTATGTCATATTTTCAGCTATAGCTTTTCTTTGCATTTTTTTCTCAATAATTTCATGTCATAGATTTCTACCAAAATAAAGACTCCCTTATGTCCCCTCAAATTTACTATTCTACCTGGGCACAGTGGCACCCAGTTGTAATCCTAGCATTCTGGGGGCTGAGGTGGGAGGACTACTGGAGGCCAGGAGTTTGAGACCAACCTGAATAAGTGCAAGACCCTGTCTCTACAAAAAAAAAAAAAAAAATCAGAAAATTAGCTAGGCATGGTGGCATGCCTGTATTCACAACTACTCGGGAGGCTGAGAAAGCTCACTTGAGCCTCAGAGTTTGAGATTGCAATGAGCTGATGCCACTGCACTCTAGCGTGGATGACAAAGGAAGACGGTGTCTTAAAACAAAAAAGAAAAATTAGTCTGATCACTATCTTGCTTTTAAGATAAAGAAAAAGGTAATTTTTTTAAATGAATGTAAAGAAAAAAAAGAGATTCCTAGATTCAAGACTGTTCCCTTTTGTCAGTTACACACATACATACAGTATATGTATATATGGGTATGTGTATATTTATGGGGGATGAAGGTAGGAGAGGTTGATGTGTTTTGCAATTCTTTTGTTTCACTAAGTTTGTTTGTTTGTTTTTTTTAACAGACAAGGTCTTGCTCTCTCACTCAGACTGGAGTGGAGAGCATGATCATACTATTAGTTGACTTCAGCCTCAAACTTGTGGCTCAGGCAATCCTCTTGCCTCAGCCTCTCAAGTAGCTAGGACTCATCACACCTGGCTAATATTTTTTAAAAATTTTTCAGTAGAGACAGGGCGTCTCAATATGTTTCCCAGGTTGGTCTTGAACTCCTGGCCTTAAGTGGTCCTTCTGCCTGGGCCTCCCTAAATGCTTGGATTGTAGGCAGAACCATCATATCCACCTCAAATTATTTTTAAATAAGAAATAAACAGGAAGAAAAATCAAATTAAGATCCATTGCTTTCAAATTTTACTAGAAACAGAAACTAGAAACTAAAAATGGTACAATGAAAATAAAACTCTTAAGAGACAAGTAAAATGCAAATACTCATTGGTTGCTTTCTGATTCTACAGACAAAATTACCCGAGTTCTATATTAATCTTATCATACAATGCCCATACACCACACTTTCAGTAGCATTTTTGTAGGATGCCTTCTCTAATTTATTTTTTGTTGTGTCTCTGAGGTCCTTTTTGAGATCCTTTTCCTGCTTGCCCTTAGCATTTCCTTTAGAGGGTGTGCTAGTGGAAAAGTTTTAATTTGTCTGAAAGTATCTTTATCTTTCTTGGATTTTCATAAGAAATTGTTGGTGATTACAGAATTATTTTTCTTCAGTACCTTGAAAATACCTTTCCACCATCTTTCTGAGAAGTCACCTATTAATTGTTGTTAAGGGCCAAATGAATGTATTTTTAAAGTAATATTATTGATAAAGCTAAATATCTTCTTATATTTTCTCTTACAGAGAATATAGTGAGTAGCTTGTATATTCTATGTAAGAATATAAGTTGCAAAAAGTTACATGGCATAGTTTCTAAAAAATTTAAAACCATTCAAAAGCACACTAAATATACATTAAGGACACATATATATGTAGCATAAGCACAAAAACGTGAGAAAATGATATGTATCAAATTCAGAATAGAAATTGGTTTAAGGGAGATACTTGGAGGTTGAGGTGGATAAAGTCAAGTTTATCTATAGTAGTTTATTCTCATAAAAAATAAAAAGATCTGAAACAAACATTACAAACTATTAAGGCCTGACAAACTTAGGTGGTAAGATATGTGGACATATTTGTTGTATTATCTCTGCTCTTTTCTGTATGTTTGAAATATTTTATACTTTCTAAAAATTTTTCATTCAAAATGCAGTTCAATTTACTGGCAAGGCTTATGGAGGTTTTTTTTTTTCTTTTTTGGTTGGTGGTTTATTTGTTTTTGTTTTGTTGTTTTGTTTTGTTAGACAGGGTCTAGTTCTGTTGCCCAGGCAACAGAGAGGAGTGCAGTGGCATCATCATAGCTAACCATGCCTGCCAACTCCCAAACTCAAGTGATCTTCCTGCCTTAGCCTCCTAAGTAGCTAAGACTACACACATGTATTAGCACACAAAGCTAACTTTTAACATTTTTTGTAGAAACAGGACCTATTGTTGCCCAGTCCAGGCTCAAACTTCTGGCCTCAAGCAATCTTCCCACCTCCACCTACTAAAGTTCTGGGATTAGGTGTGAACCACAGTGCCTGGCCAGTCTGTGGAGTTTTAATTAAGAAGTTTCATAATATGTTCAAGTTGTGTAATAAACACAAAATTGAGAACTGCTTTTCAAAATGCATAAGAAAAACAGCCTATCTGAAAGTATTTTTCAAATGCGTTGTTATACATACCTGTGAGTGCTAAATAAGAAGCAATGTACCGTTTCTCCAGACCATCTCTAATACTTTGAATTGCACCAAAAATTGGAGGTATGATCATAATCAGGTTACTCACTGTATTCCCTGTAAGATAAAAATATAAGAAGATATTTAAGTTAATTAATAATACTACTTTAAATAAAAATACATTCCTTTGGTCCTTAACAACAATTAATAGGTGACTTCTCTTAAAGATGGTGGAAAGGTATTTTCAAGGCACTGAAGAAAAATAATTCTGTAATCGCCAAAAATCTCTTACAAAAATCTAAGTAAAATAAAGATATTTTCAGACAAATGAAACTAAAAATCTTCCACCAGTACACCCATTATAGGAAATCCTAAATTCTAAGGGCAAGCAGGAAAGGGATCTCAGAAAGAACTTCAGAGATATAGCAAGAAATGAATTAGAGAAGAGAGCCTGTATAAATGCGGCTGAAATTACAGTCCTTGGGCACAGAATGACAAGATTAAAACTGAACTGGATTAATTTTGCCTATAAAATCAGAAAGCAAAAAAATTGGTGTTTCTATTTTGCATATCCCTTTAAAATTTCATTTTCCTGGTTATGTTTTTAGTTTCTGTTTCCAGTAAAATATGAAAGTAATGAATCTTTACTTGACTTTTGCTCATGTCTTTACAAAAACAAAACTCAAACATGAACAGCAAAGGAAAAGTAAAATCCCAATAACAGAAATAATTAGGTAAAATGGGGGAGGAAATGGCCAAACAGTATTTTATAAATTTGATTCTGGACAGGATAAAGTGGCATGGTATTTTCCACATTCCAAATGAATAATTTTCAACAAACATTGAAAATATTTGTTGTGTGAATATTAAGACAAATTATCAATGAACTGAGGGTAGAACAAAACCTTTTCAAATAGTCAAGGATTCAAAAAAAGTATGTACAACGTATCCTTTCTCTAGAATCAAATAGAAAAGGTAATGAGTCAAAACAAAGAAGTCAACCATGAGAAAAGATGACATGGGATCTAAGAAACAGGGCTGCAGCACAAGAGAGAAGTAGTCCCAAGACTACAGTGCATAAAAGGACCAGAGATTACCCAGACCACATCAACACAGGAGAACAAAGCACTTCAGGAAAAAATTTCTAAGAAAAATAAGAAAGGAAGGGCCAATTTTCCTTCCTTTTTATTTTCCCATTTGAGAAATTAAATAAATGGGAAAAAGTGTTAGTAGGTATTTAACAGAAGTACTGGGAAAACTGCTATAGTTTAATCCAACCAGTCCTCTATTAACTGGTTAATTTAGATTATTTAGATGATTTCCAATTCTTACTATTACATGCAATACTGCAGTCAACAGCTATATACATAAACGAGCAGAATATAACTGTAAAATAGATTCTCAAAAGTGAGATCAAAGAATAAATACATTTATTGACCCGCAAAGTATTAAAAGATAACAAGGATGCATTGTCCTTTCTCTTACAATGAGTGAGGATGGGCTTCATTTTACATGCTTAAGGACCATTTGTGTATCTTTTCCTAGGAAATGCATATCTATGTCCTTCGCCACTTCTTCTATTTATCTTTTCCTTCTATAAAAAAGGAGCCCTTCTTGTAAAAGGATATTAGCCCTATGATATGAGATGTAAACTCTTTTGACTTTGCTTATGATATATTTTGGTCCAAGGGTCCTCAAACATTTTAAACAGGGGGCCAGTTCACTGTCCCTGAGACCATTGGAGGGCTGAACTATGGACCCTGGGACGAGTCGGCTGCTAAGCAGGACAGGCAGCAGCAGCAAAAACACCTGGTGGGCCAGATAAATGTCCTAGGTGGGCTGCATGTGGCCCGCAGGCCATAGTTTGAGGACACTTGGTATAGATAAATTTTTGGTGCTTTTTATGTAGCTGAATTTAGCAATCTTTGAGTGAAGGTTTTAGAAAGGCCTTCCCCACTCTGAGGTTATACAAGATTTTCTTCTAGTGCTTTTATGTTTCACTTTTTTTTGAAGCAGTATCTTGCTCTGTCACCCAGGCTGGAGCACCATGGCATAATCATAGCTTGATGTAATTTTAAACACCTGAGCTCAAGCAATCCTCTTGCCTCAGCTTCCTGAGTAGCTGGGAATACAGACACATGCCACAACTGGTTAATGTATTTTTCTTTTCTCAGAGAGGCAGTCTTGCTGCGTTGCCCAGGCTGGTCTTGAACTCCTGGGCTTACGTGATCTCCCTGCCTCAGCCTCCTAAAGTGCTAAGATTACAGGCATGAGTCACCATGTCCAACCCTGGCTTCTCGTTTGAAAAAAACTAAATTTTAATTTCACTTGAGATTTTCCTGGTCTGTAGTATAAATATCTCTTCAACTTTATTTCTAATGGCTGCCCAGTTGTGCTAATACAATGCAATTATTGGCTTGGAGCCTGTGGCTCAGGTGGCTAAGGTGCCAGCCACATATACCTGAGCTGGCAGGTTTGAATCCAGCCCGGGCCCGCCAAACAACAATGATGGCTGCAACCAAAAAGTAGCTGGGTGTTGTGGCAGGTGCCTGTGGTCCCAGCTACTTGGGAGGCATAGGCAGAAGACTCGCTTGAGCCCAGGAGTTGGAGGTTGCTGTGAGCTGTGATGCCAGAGAACTCTACCCAGGGCGACAGCTTGAGGATCTGTCTCAAAAAAAAACAAACAAAAAACCCACAACAACAACAAAAAAAACCAAACAATGCACAAGTAATAACAAAAAAGTGTACATAAAAAGAAATGTTACCAAAGATGGCCTAGCAGGCCATTAGTCATATTGATATTATTAATGTTAATCCTAATTACTTATTAAAAATATGCTCTGTATTTGAGAAAATGTAGCAAAAAGAGGGAATGGTCTAAGAAAGCAAATCCCCAACCACTGTAACTGGAAAACAGATAATATCTTCAATTTACAGATCCAGAAACAGCACTATAAGCAAGTTATTTAGAAAACTGGAGCCAAATTCTAGAAAACAATAGCTAAGTGGTAAAAACTTATTGCTGGACTTCTGCTTCCACACAAGATGAAGAAACAGGCACCAGATTTACCCTCCCAGCTCAGATAAGAAAGAGAAGAGAGAAAGGAAGACAAAATACAGAAGAACCTCTGAAAGTTGACCACCCAAGGGACTGTAACAAACTGGTCAACATACTGAGGTGGTCAACATAAGGAACTAGGCCTGCTGTATTGATGTATATATATACTTTACTTTCTTGTATAGCTTTTATTAGAGAATATCATACAAAATCATACATGATCAAAATAGTAAAATCATCCATATAGTATTATACGAAATCAAGGAGTAGGTAAAGGATAGTGACTGAGAAATGAAGTCATGTGTTTTTTCTCATGATTTAATCATTCTTTCTGAAAAAAGAGTCAAACTTGGTTTGTTTCTTATTCTTATTACAAATGTTAAGAGAAGAAAACACCTTAATGCTGGCTATACCACTCAGCATACCTGGGCATTTCCCCTCCCCAGCAAATGACTTTTAACTGCATTATCAGGTGCCTGCCATTCTCTTTCTTTGGCGTTTCTACAATTTCTGTGTCATCCTCACTTCCATTTCATCAGCAACTTCATGTACTTTTACACTGGTCAATCAATAGGAAAACTACTTCTAGGTCAGGTTCATTACAGGTTGCCACCTCATCGTCCATTGTAACAAAACCTTCAAAATCTACTCCTTCGAATTCTGGCATGGGAGATGGACTGTCTGATGGGACCAAAACATCATACTCTTGAGCTGTGACAACTTTCTTGAAATGCTCCTGTGTCATTTCTGGCTGAACTTTATTCTGAGCAGAACTGATCCAGAGGACAGCATCCTGAGCATTAATTGATGCAGCAGATGAAGTTGCTTCCATAAGCAGACCACAGGTTTGTGTTTTAGTAATGATCCCCTACAGGGGCTGACCTTATACATTTTAAATGTTTTGGTGATGTGTTGTACAAGAGGTTGGATTTCTGAAGTTGTGTTTGGAAGCAGAAATTTCAGTGTCATAAACGTAACATGATTCACTTGTGAGTGGCCAGGATAGTTTTCTACTGTTGGTACCGTTTTCTTCTTCACTTCTCAGTCAATATCCTTTACCCACTCCTTGAAAAGGGCACCAGTCATCCATGTGCATTTGTTTGATCTCTGAATGACAGGGTGGTCTTCAGGCTTGAGGCTCTTGAATGTGTGTGACTTTACCTAAAGGGTTTTAGTTTCTCTCCAGCAGGGTTAGCGCAAAACAGAACTGTGAAAGTTCTTTGGGAAGTTTTCTACTTTTAACGTTTGTCACTATTCATAACAAGGCTCCTGTTAGGCATTGATTTGAAAAAGAATACACATTCACCAGTGTTAAAGATGTTGTCATCTTTTAAGCTTCTGGTGAAGTCTGGGAACTTTTTTTTTTTTTTTTTGAGACAAAGTCTCATTCTGTTTCCCTGGGTAGAGTGCCATCGCATCATCATAGATCACCTCAACCTTAGTCTCTTGGGCTCAAGTGATTCTCTTGCCTCAGCCCCCCAAGTAGCTGGGACTACAGGTGCTTGCCATAATGCCTGGCTAGTTTTTCTGTTTTTAGTAGAGATGGGGCCTCACTCTTGGTAAGGCTGGTCTCCAAATCCTGAGCTCAAGGAATCCACCTACCTTGGCCTCCCAGGGTACTGGGATTACAGGCATGAGCCACTGTGCCCAGCCTTCTCATAACTTTCTGATAAACTCTTCCATAACTTCTACTGGAACTTCATTGGATTCACCACATAGAACCTTCTGGGAGATCTCCTGTTACAGTTTAAATTTCTTTTTTTAAATTAATTAATTTATGTTTATTAAATCATAGCTGTGTACATTAATGCAATTATGGGGTACAATGTGCTGGTTTTACGTACAATTTGAAATACTTTCATCAAACTGGTTAACATAGCTTTCACCACATTTTCTTAGTTATTGTGTTAGACATTTATATTCTACACTTAGCAGATTTAACATATACCCTTTTAAAATGCACCATAGCTGTAGTCCCACCAACTATTCTCCTTCCACTCATCCTCCCCACTCCCCTCCCCTCCTCTTTCCTCTTCATCTTGGACTATAGTTGTGTTAC